AAATTTCAAAATTTACACATTTTCTCAAATATCTCGAATACGGTCCATTTTAGATAAATTATGTATAGGATAAAAATTATAGAGAATTATATTACAAACAACTTTTGTTTGAACAATTTTTATAAAAAAAATATTTTTTTACATTTTATCAAATTTCTCGAATACGGACCATTTTAGGAAAATTTTGTATAAAATAAAAATTTTAGATAATAATATAAGAAGTAACTTTTATTTGAAAAAATTTCTTCCCCAAACGTAAATAACAGATATATTCCATAAAATATAAAAACGGCCCCCTATAAAGTACCCCCCCCCCAGATGTTCCGACTTTGTCCAAAATCTAATCATTTCACGTCAGGCTGAAATAAAACTTAAGTTTAAAATGTAATGTTTTTTTCTTTATCCGTTTTTGAGTTTTCTTCAAATTTCAAAATTTACACATTTTCTCAAATATCTCGAATACGTTCCATTTTAGAGAAATTATGTATAGAATAAAAATTATAGAGAATTATATTACAAACAACTTTTATTTGAACAATTTTTATAAAAAATTATTTTTTTTACATTTTGTCAAATTTCTCGAATACGGACCATTTTAGGAAAATTTTGCATAAAACAAAAATTATAGGTAATTATATTAGAAGTAACTTTTATTTGAAGAATTTTCTTCTCCAAACGTAAATAACAGATATATTCCATAAAATATAAAAATGACCACCTATAAAGTACCCCCCAGATGTTCCGACTCTGCCCAAAATCTAATCAGCTCATTGGACGCTGGAACAAAGCTTAAGTTTGAAATTTGGTGTTTTTCTGTATATCGGTTCATGAGTTATGCGGCACACAGACACACAGACACACAGACACACAGACACACAGACACACACACACACACACGCACGCCCGCACGCACGCACGCACGCACGCACACACACACACACACACACACACACACACACACACACACAGACATCATCGCGAAAATAGTCAAAACGGATTCAGGGGACCTCAAAACGTAAAAATCCGTCGAAAACTCGAGGTCGAAAAAAATCATGATTCCTATACTTTCCTTATATCTGTATACAGATAGGAAAGTAAACATAATTATTACTTTGAATAAAATAATTTTTATTCTGCCCATCAATTTGGTTTTCGTTCAAAGCGATCAACGTCTGATGCTGCAATGTGTGCCGTTGATTACATGGTTGATGATATTGAAAACAGAAAGTTTGCAGGATAATTTTTAATTTGTTACACATGCAATTATGATTCTTCCGTATCTGTGTATGTATATCAGTCTTATTGAAATTCACAGAAGAGCTACCTCATTTCTTACTCAGTCCAGTATTCACTCTTATGACACTAGACATGCTAACCTAATTCGACTACCTAGATATAGGTTATTAAAAACACAAAAAATTTAATTTAAAATCAACAAACTTATTTAATTTTAAAAAATTATTGAAAATTTAATTTGAAAACCACAGTTATTATTATATTTCGAAATTTTTAAATCTTTTTCGTTTCCATTCATTTCCCTGTTGACGATACATTCTTCCTGGGTCATCCCCTTCAAAGTCCTCTCAAAGTATTGTTTGTAGTAATGCATTTTAATTAAGACATTTTTATCTTTGTACTATTAGATTTTTAGAGTTTTCGTATTTTATTTTATTATTTTAGATTATACAAAAAAGTGTCACAAAATAAAACGGGGGGTAGTATGGGCCAAAATATGCAGAAAAGTCTTAATAAACATATGTCCGCAAATGAATGGTTTCAGAGATACGGAGTGTTTTGTGTTTTGTATAATTTTTTGATTATCTTTTTTCATTCTCAAAAACTTGCTTTTCTTATCGGAGTCTACCGATGTTTTTTCATAAATACTATTTGCAGTTATTATTTTGTTGTGGGTGAATAATTTTATAAATTTTCGTTATACCTGTTTACACTAATATTGAATTAGCTGACATGCATTTTATGTACGGTCGTGCAAATGGCAATGCGAGGGAAGCGCTACGTCAGTATATCGACGCTTTTCCTAATCGCCACATCCCTTCAGTTCGTGTGTTTGGAAGATTGCACCAAAGATTGCGTGATACAGGTAAATTTGGGAAACAGTCACATGATTCCGGGAGACCAAGGTCGGTGTCCACCCCTGAGGCAGAAGAAGCAATTTTAGCACGAGTAGAAGAGAATCCAGAAACTAGTGTGCGAAGAATATCAGCGGAGGTAGGAATTGGGGCTCCTCTGGTTTGGAGAATCCTCCACGAGCAGCAGCTTTACCCGTACCATCTTCAACGAGTGCAAGCTCTGAATGCACCTGATTATCAAGCACGTTTGGAGTTTTGTCGATGGTTTCTGAGAAATGATGCTGAGGATCCCAATTTTATTGCACTAATTCTTTTTACTGATGAGGCAGGGTTTACACGAAATGGAGTTTTTAATTTCCATAATTTGCATATGTGGGCCGACGAAAATCCCCATAGTATCGTGGAATCCAGGCATCAAGTTCGTTTTTCATTAAACATTTGGATGGGTATTTATGGCGACTGGTTACTAGGTCCGATTGTAAGACCTAACCGATTAACGGGAGCTGACTACTTAAACTTTTTGCAGAACACATTGGGTGATCTTTTAGATGACATTCCTTTAATACAAAGAAATCAAATGTGGTTCCAGCACGATGGTGCTCCGGCGCATTTTTCAGTTGCCGTAAGAGAACATTTAGACGGATCCTTTGGTCGAAGATGTATAGGAAGGGGCGGACCTGTGCCATGGCCTGCAAGATCGCCTGATTTAAATCCGCTTGACTTTTTTCTTTGGGGTCACTTAAAAAATTTAGTGTACGCCACTCCTGTGAATAACCTCGAAGAGCTGCAGCAACGAATAGAGCAGGGATGTCATCGAATCCTAGCCAATGAGGGTGTTTTGGAAAGAGTCCGACAGTCCTTTCGGAGATGTCGTAGCTGCATTGAAATGGAGGGAGGGCACTTTGAACATCTCATTTAACTCTATGTTGTTATTGATTGTTTATAAATATCATTGTTTTTTTATAATAATAAAAAATTGTTATAAACATAAAATGGTCCGTATCTCCGAAACCGTTAATTTGCGGTCATATATTTATTAAGACTTTTCTGCTTATTTTGGGTCATACTATTCACCATTTCATTTTGTGACACTTTTAACACCCTGTATACAGTGAGCCTCATAAGTCATAAGTTACTGGAGTCTTGTTAGGAAAATCGCCGAGACACGTCGATTTTTGATTTCTACAATGTACATTTTTGTATAAATAGTTTACCCTTAATTTAATTCGTTACTGGAGGGGCGCAACCTTTCGAAAAATTTAAATGGCATGGGGTGGTGAGTGATAGCTCATTTGAAAGGGGATTTTATTCTCTATTCAACCGTGCAAAAAAATTGAAATTTGCTTTATTACGTGTTGATTTATTAATGTTTAAAAATAATGAAACATCACAAATAGGAAAGCAACTAAACTAAGAGTGACCTTATCTAATGGGAAAAAGTCTTACTTCACGTCTGAACCAAAACCGACATCATGCTGGGCCGAATTTTAATTTTAAGGAATTATTCTGAAACAATAATTAGTCGAGAATTAATAAAGCAAATTTCAAAATTTTTTGCACGGTTAAATAGAGAATAAAACCTTCTTTAAATGAGCTATCACTCACCACCCCATGTCATTTAAAATTTTCGAAAGGGTTGCTCCCCTCCAGTAAGGGATGAAATTAAGGGTAAACTATTCATACAAAAATGTACATTGTAGAAATCAAAAATCAACGTGTCTCGGCGATTTTCCTAACAAGACTAAATAACATAGTTAAATAAAAGTATTCTATGAATTAGCAATCTATATAATTATGTATCATTGGATCTTGCTCTTCTAGTACACGAGCGCCAATTCTGGTCACTTTCTGAAGCCTTATTTACTTCGTTTAGGTGGTCACTTTTTTGAGATAACTATATGAGATTGTACTCATCAGGGTCGTTTCTAGGGTATCAACTGCCCGTGTGCGGGCAAGATTCTCCCCCCTCCTTTTATACCATATGAATTAGAAATATTTTTAATTAAAATTACAGAAAACATAAGAAATTTGGTTTGTTTCTTAGTTTTACAAGCTAACAATAAATAAAACTTAAAAACACTATTATAATGAGAATATTATCTAAAAACTTAAAATAAATAAACAAATATCCTACTTATAGGTGACAAATGACAGACGCGCGAAAATTAATTTGAATCGCGAATTATGATAACCTCGTGTTTTTAAATATTTTAACGTCAAATTTACATGATGATAATTATATTTTACTTGAAAAATTAAATAGTGTGCCCCTGCCGTTTTATTTTATTCCATTAATTAGATTCTCTAATAATTAAAAAGTATTTCGTCAAAAAATCAACGAAATCCTAATCAGTTTTTATCATATCTTAAAATATTCCGTGAATAAAATAAAAAAAAATCTTTTAAAACAAGAATAGTTTTGGAAACAATATAATTGACGAATTGTCATTATATCATTAAAGATAGTGAAAGTAATTTTATTACCGGACGATCAGCAACAACAAAAAATGTAGGTTGAATTATAAACATATTAATCACAATCACTGCTTTAATAAAAGAAGCAATTAAAAAATATTCTAACAAGCTTGAAAACGCTGAGAGCAAAAACCGCAACCTACTTATTATGGATTTGGTTGAAGTACAACAAAGGTTAATGTATTATATTGGTATTTAAGATGTTTCACTTTCAGAACGTTATTAATAATAGTTAAACCAGTAGCGTAGACTCGGCGTGGTTTTGGAGGTTAGACTTTCCCATGGAACTCTTTCGTGGCCCCTTTATTTGAAATCTATCACCAGTCCCCTATTAAATTAATAAGACATAAATACCAAAAATGAATTTACTTGTATTTTTTGTGATTTTTTACAAAGTAAAAATATGAATAATATATCTTATATTTTTTGTTCTAGGTTCTTCTGTTACCCGTCATAATATGTGGTGCCCAAAGAGAGAATATACCTAAATCAGTAATGACCCGAACAGAACTGAAAGTTTCTAGAAGTTTAGATCCTAAAAGCACCAAAACATTAAATGTTGTCACCAAGGATGGAGGTATAGCTCAACTAATTGTTAAACGAAGAGATTCCCAAGCGAATCCATCGTCTTCATTTACACATTATGCACCGATTCCTAGTAACAACAACTTTGAAATAAATTTCTACAAGGATTATGGTAACGAGAAACAAAATTACGAGACAAAACTGTTTCCTAATGTAGAAGACGGTAGGGATCTTGAAGTTATGGAGAGTAAACCTGCAGCTGCTAATTGGATACCAATTTCATCCCAGTACTATCAACCATCGGTACTAGATATGAACACAATAGCTCTTATCAAAAATTTAACCAGCAGGAACTTAATTTCGATGAGAGCATTGAACCAGTTGTTTGACAGTAATAGGTAAGTTGTTATTTTTTGGAATGGTATAATTAGTGTGAGAGCTAGTATATTGAACATAAGATTGGTAATAGTAATATTAATTTTTGTTTGGTTTAAAACGCCATATTTTGGTCTAATTATTTATTTGATTAAGGTGGGAGTTTAATTGCATTTAATTTTTTTCCAAATGAATTTGAAATCTATAAAAAATGAAAACCTAAAATTTGGTAGACATTTTTTAAATAAATCAGAGCAGTTGCTGACAAAAATATCAATAATGCAACTTTAAAAACAATAAAATAAAAGTTTAAACAATTATAAAAAAATAAAATATAATTTTTTTACGAAGACAAGCAAATAGACTATTAAGAACCAATTACAATTACGTTGAAACCAATTCTCAAGTTGATGTAATGACGAATAAAATTGAAAAATAAAATGCAAGCCGAAATTTCAAATAATATACGCGGTAATACCATTGTCTACCTTCTTTACCGATAATTTTAGTTCACGTATTCGTTTATAGAGCCAGTTGACTTGTTCCCATCAAGAATTTCAAAAATTCTATTCGGATTATAGTTTTGATGATTTAAAGCCAAACGGAAGATGAAATCTGAACCTATTTAAGAGTACCTGTAATTAAAATAATGGCAACATTGACAAATCACTTTGCACTCTGTATGTACTTGTGATTATATCGTATTTTATATTTTCTTGTTTTATTTCATGAAGCTGTAAAATTATTTGGTATAATTTTCTTAACTGTTCGAAAAAAATTAGAATTATTATTAATTAGGATTAAGATTTGATTTAATTAAAAAAATTAGCAAAGTTATGATTATTATGACAATTTTCATTTTTTTTTATATTTAGAAAAACTAAATGAATTTTTTTAGAAAAGGTTTGAGCGTAACACAAATTTAACTTAAGACGTGCATAGGTATTTTTTTCTTTTACAATTGAAGATATATGTGGATAAAGGTGTCATGTCACATTTTTTCAAAAACTGATTGTTATGTCCTAATATACTTAAAATATGCTGTATTTTTTGTTTGTGATAGTTCTGATTTTCAATTTTGATAAATAATGTCTATTGATCACATAGGAAGGTATCATGAGCCATATATTATAATGCAATTGTAAAACTTTAAACTTGTTTTTCTTGAAATAATCTTTTTGTGACATGACACATTTATCCACTCATGTCTTCAATAATTCATTGACAAATGTTAATACAAGACACATTGTAAACATCAGACAAATGTAAATATAAAACTAAGAAAAACTAGGATAAAATATAAAAATGATTACACTGAGAGCTGAATCCATACGACTTCTGGTTTGAAAAGTCAACGCCTTATCCACAAACCACATTCGCTAGATGCATTTGTCTGCGAGACGGCATAATAACGATGCGAAAGCCAAATTAGAACGAGTTTAGTGGGTTGTGCAACAAGAGTTGATATGGACAATCCACTCCAGTTGTACAGTATATTTTTTCAACGACCCAGTAACGAAAATCTACAAATTTAAAAAATTATTTTAAGTTTTTAAGACAAAATAACTAATTTTAAAATAATTTATGACTTTAACTAATTTATAAAATAAAATAAACATGAAAAAAAAAGAGATTTAATTTAATTAGTCCCCAGCTCAGATTTGAACTCAGTCCTCTCGCGTCGAAGACAAACGCCGTGTCCTCACCTCCATCGCCACACTTACGATTTTAGTTTTAATACTCTTAATTAAATTAGTTTTATGTAGGTAGTTCGATTAAAATTTAAGATTTATTTGTAAATATAGTCAAAATAAAAAGGAATGCTGTTATTGATCGATTCTACACAAGAATAATTCATTTTTACGTACATTTAAACATAATATCTTAAAAATATAATGACAATTAGTTTGACAGAATCGTCACTCATATAAAATTTAAAAAATAATAGTAGCCGAGTGGCCAAAATATGAACTGTGATTAGTGGATTTAATTTTTTTTAAAAATCGCCATGCGTTATCGTTGCGAAGATGGTGCAAGTCAAATGGCACCATCAATCATCTTTAAGTCGCCCCGGAGCGCCACGGCAAATAATAATAATCGCTGTCTCTTCCCCGGACAAACATAGCTTTTGGGGTTAAAATTCACTCGTAAGGAGGTAAATTATGGAAAATATTATTATTATTAAATATACCAAACGTTTAGTAGCCCGCCAATTAAATATTCTACACTCACACGGATATTATACATATCGTCGGTTAAGAGTGTAAACCTGCTAAGTCCATTTTTTTCAGTTTTAACATTTTATGTTTAAAAATTCAAAAAAAATTGGAGAATTTTAACTTTAAAGCTGCGAAGTCCCACAAGCACAACTAACGAGAATATTTCGCTTCCCGAATAAGTGCTATATCCAAACCACTAAATATATAAACCGTAAATATGTCCCACAGAGATGTGCATTTTGCGTGTTGACATTCAACCGGCGTGACGTGATTTATGTACAACGTATATTTTAATAGATTTATAACATTTAAGGTGGAAATATTATAACGGAAATTAAGGTAAGTTATTTCAATATTATTTAACATAACTTTAAGTCAGATATTTTGAATGAACGCGTTACTTATAGCATTTTTTAACAATTTATTCAGTCCCTAAAGGATTTAGCAGATTTTCATGTTTACTTTTACCTAAACATATTGGATTTGTCACTCAATACCTTACTATATTTTAAATGAGATGGATCATTATTATAGGTTTGTTTGTTGTAAAAATAGTATTTAAATAATAAAAAGAAATATTATAAAAAATAAACGTTTGCCAGTATAGTATTTCATTTTGCATTATAGATGTCTCGCGGAAGAAAATTAGTAGAATTAGCGACAGGGTCGGCTTCAAGTTTAATGCCTGAACTGAAACTGGACAAGCCTGAAGAACCGGATAATCCTGTTTCTTATGAAAATAAAAATGTATCGGAAATCCCATTTCCGAAACTAATGGAAAATATTGATTGCCTTGATTCTTTACTACATGATGAGAACTTCACAGAACTCTCTTGTGGATAATATATACTTTGAATTTATAGATTTGGAAAATAATAGTATTGAAAATAAAACGGATCAGAGACAAATTTTGAAAGAAATAAATACTTCTATTAAGAGTAACCAAATACCAATACTCGGTATCACCAGTACGAAAGAAATTGTTCTCGAGCCTACCAAATTGGTTTACGCAGATCATCCTCAGAATGAATTGGAAAGTCCTGAAAATGAGGTAGCTACTGACCCAATTAGTGACGATAGTGATGCCGAGTTTAGTTTGGTGCCATATTCTAATCACTTTTGACTCCGATGTGTCAATAGAATATCCAGAAAAAAGTCAAACTCGAAAAAAGAGGTTTCAGGTTAATAAAAATGAATGCTTTTCAGAGGAAAACAAGAAGCTAAGGGAAAAGGGCCACAATTTTCTCGGTCGAGGCAAAAAGGGTAACAAGTGGGTCTATGATATTAAAAAAAGCTCCTCGTGTAATAAAATCAAGATGTACATGTAAAGTAACTACCAAAAATCTAAAATGCAGCTCTATTACAGAGGAAGACAGAAAAGAAATATTTCAATATTTCTGGAACTTATCCTGGGATGGAAAGAAGATCTTTATTGATAACATAGTGTCACTAGTTCCGGTTAACCGCCCCAGAAATCGTAAAAACGCTGAAATTTCAAGAAGATCTCAATCCGTTTTATATCATTTAAGAATACATGACACTAACATTCGGGTTTGTCGTGTCATGTTCCTAAACACTTTAGTCATAGGCAGAATGACTGTTTTGGATTGGAAAGAAAAGAAAGGACGTGGAACAAAAAAGCAACATAATAAAACTGATAAAACGGAAAATCATAAACCTTTTGACAGAGAAAATAGAGAACTGATAAACTTTGTAAATTATCTTCCCAAAATGGAATCCCATTATTGTAGGGCTTCTACAAAAAAACAATATCTTCTACCAGAGTGGCAATCAAAAAATAACCTTTATAGATTTTACGTTAATGATTTTTGCAAATCTCAAAACGTATCACCACTTTCAATAACCACTTTTAACCAGGTGTTAGAATTGCACAACATTTCTCTCTACCATCCTAAGAAAGATCAGTGTGAGAAATGCGCAGGATTTAAAGTAGGACACATTACAGAACAAGAATATAATATACATATAGCCAAAAAGGAAGAGGCTAGGAAAGAAAAGGCCAAAGATAAAGAAAATGAAAGGTTTGTCTTCACAATGGACCTACAGGCTGTTCTAATGGCTCCAAAATCGAAAATTTCGAGCTTGTATTATAAAACCAAGCTCTCTATACACAATCTTTGCTATTACAACATAATAAACCAAGATGGATTTTGCTACCTCTGGAGCGAAGTTGAAGGTGGAGTTAACGCTGAAGAATTCGCCTCCATTTGTTCAAAATTTATTGTAGAAAAAGTATTGCCGTCTGTTGACCGTGGAAATATTAAAGATATAAAAGTCATTCTGTATAGTGATGGTTGTACCTACCAAAATAGGAATGTAACCGTAACGAACGCTTTACTCAATGTAGCCATTTATTACAAAATAACTATTGAACAAAAGTATTTAGAGGTTGGGCATACACAAATGGAGGCGGATTCCATGCATAGCACTATAGAGAGACATCTCAAAGACAGGTCAATCAATGTACCGGCAGAATATTACTCAATATGTCAAAAAGCCCGTATGAAGCCAAAGAACTATGATGTGTCCTGTATAAAAGAAATTTAGTAACGTGGAATATTTCAAGAGTATTCGTCCAGGGAAATTAAAAGGAAATTCAAAGGTGAGAATAAACTTCATTACTATAAAACTTTTTTTTTGTTGCGTTACTGGTCAAAAAATATAAATTATAATACCTTCTATTAGCTTACATTTTTGGTAACTTGGCTATTTATTTAGGCATATTATTTTGTTTTTAAAATATCATTTATTTGCTACTATTACAGTCGTTTCTGTTTCTTAAC